TCGAAAACCTTTATATTTCCTGAACAGAACAAAGTAGGAATGTAGGCCTTGCGTAGATCGATAGAGAATAATGTTTGCTATCGAATGGTGGTATTACAAGTTAAAACCACATGGAATATACCTTTGAAATCTCGTCCTCAAATCTCGTATTAAGAAATTCACCTGATTGGTCAATTGTTCGACCAATGAAAATGTAGATGTCTGGATGCTTACCTCTGTCACCTATCGAATGATGAAAACCGCAGGTCACTAGCTTGTTCCTATCGAAAGTTATTCAAAAAACATCCGAGTGCACTGCTTTCTGGTGCAGATAGTAGTTCGAATAAATTAAATATTATTCAAAATAATCTACCTTATTACTAATTGTTAAGGATGAAGACCGAATCAAAGAAATCTGAACATAAAGTGTGGAAAGTTTATTGAAACGTCCATCAAGTAAATAAAGACAATCGACGAAATTTTCTACACAGACATTCAATTCTAAGAGATTTGAGGAGATAACAACTGATGATGAAATCTGCAATGGTAATCGTTTGTTATAAATTGCAAATATACTGAAATTTAAATATTGTAAATTCGTAAATAGAGTGAAGATATTTGTAAATATAAGTTCACGAACACCTTCTGCTAAACCTAGTTTTTCATATTTAATATTGACAACAAGTGATGATATTTGATTTTTATTTATATAAGTTAAAGAAGATTCGTCTAAATAAAAAAAAAATGAAATCAATGAGAAAATTATTTCTCACTTTTTATTTTGATAATTAAATCAATATATTTATTAACAACTCTATTATGTATATGTGTGATTTTCTTCTTTTAAATTCTTCAATAGATTATACTATATCATCGATTTTCTGTTTTATCTCAGCCATGTATTTTATTCTACAATTTCTTCTTTCAAACTCATTATTTAAAGTTAGAATACAGTGGTTCTTTTTCACATGCTGATTTTCTTCTAACACATAGCTATCGAGAAATATTAGGAAATTCGAAAATTTTTTTATAAAAAAAAAGATGTATAATGATCTACGTTTAATTGAATGAAGTATATATTCCCAATAAATAATTTTAATTTTTCTTGTTTAATTAATGAAAGAATTGAAGTATCTTACCAATAAATAGAGATAGAGCCTTTTCTATGCTGATATTATATAAACCAAGTCCACATAAATTCGGATAATTTGTAGTCAGAAGAATACGTTCCATAGATGATGATTCAAGATCAAGCCATTTGATTTTATGATGAATTTCAGGTAAAATTTGTAAACAAAATCGATTAAGCGTTGGATCAGATAATGGATAGATAGAATCGTCCGAAAAATATCTCATTAATGTTAAATGGCTTGTAAAAATTGAATCATGTGCAATTGTATTCAGTCGATGATTAACACCTATTAGAGAGTAGAGTACTTCGAGATTCAATATTTTTTTCAAAATAATAATAAGAATCTCATCAGGTAAATCATTCAATTGAATAAATGAATATTCCATGTTTATCGTCCCTTATCTATTCTTTTTGGTATATAAATATCAATATTTATATAGATGTTCTAGGCGAAATTAGAATTGAGTCGAATTCTGAATTTGTCTAGTCAAAATTGCAATTCTAATTTCGTCTAGGCAAAAGTGAAATATTATTTTAATGGATGGCAAACCTTAACCTCTTTGATCCCGCTATTTTCAGGCTGAAGACAAACAGAACGCAAGAATTTTTTTTCGTTCTGTCGTATCGATATACAGCTGTGAAACAAAACATTCATCAATATGACTGCATTAATCCACGCTTCAAATACGATAAAATATACATGTATACAGCTGATTCATGACGGAATAACTCAAGAGAGAGTGATGTTTCGATTTTTCTACAAGATCGTAAAGAACGCAAGAATTATCGAGATCCAGGAGGTTAAAAAAACATCATCAACTAGAACACAAGGCGAACACGAATGATGGTGAAGACAAGAGCGAGCATGAGAGGACCTTGGTAAGAATAAAAATGCAAGTGAGATTGCGGTCCTACGAGGTTGTTCACTTTTCTTTCACTCAGATCCTTCTTACCATCGTCCTCAAGATACTAAATATTTGAAAAGATAACTTTTGACAATTGTTTATATCAATTTTGTATTTTGTTATTTCGACCTGATTATTTCTAGCATCATTATATATGAAAATAAAATGAACAATTTTCTAATACGGCTTTTTCTACAATGAATAGTATGAATGTATTTATTCGTTCTAAGCCTTAATGTAATTTGTTTGTTAGTTTATGATTTTTAAAGAAAGAATTCTTTTTTTGAGTCTAGTTGAATTAATTGTAATTGATTTAATTAACCCATCTACCGCATACTGGATCATAGTAGATGATCAACCCTCTTATTTTACTGTTTCTCTTTATATTTCTCGCTTTTATTTCGATATTTTTCCTTAAATCTTTCAGTGTATTCTCTCCAATTCATCTGCTGTAATTTCACTTTTATATTCTAAGCATTCGCCTAACACTTCTATTCATAGGTATAGATTTCTTGTCTTCTCTGCAAATTCCAAATACTTCACTCTATATTTTATGATATTCCAATTTTCCTGTTTTCAAAAATATCTATTATTTGACTTCGATTACTTGTATCATGTAACAACAAATCAAAAGTTCGTATTCGACAATCAATCTGTGAAAATTTAGTAATAAGCAGACAATCAAATAGTGACTAAAAGCTCAATTTGTTGATATTTGTGAGTGGTGGCAGATATTAGTATGAGCGTTGAGGAGAAGAATTTTGAGAACAGAAACGAAGATAACTACTACAGGGGATTAGGAAAGCACAATCAGAAATTTAGGACAACTGCGAGACAGACGAAAATACGAAAAATGATGTTTTACAGATGTTTCCATAAAGTTAAAAGATGTTCAAAAAGAAAGAACCCTAGTGAATAAGGTGACCTATTCAGAATTGAAACACCACATATACCATGGTGTAGAGCAAGTCGAGTCGCGTCGAATGGTGTATAGTAAATCTCATTTCTATAACACTTTGAAGGAACTAGAGTCAATTTACTAATATGCGATCATGATCCAAAACAAGATTAGTCACTGATCACTATGGTCCTTGGTATTAATCGAAGTGTTTGTAAAAAGAAATTTCTTGTATACAGTTTTGTAGAGCTTTTCAAGGACTACAAGCTCATATACTTCACATCTCCATTGGTCCTATGTCTGATAGGAAAAATGCGATTTTTCAATAATTCACCAACGTTTTTGACTAATTGTGGGGCACCGCGTCTTCAATGGTGTCGACGATAGAAGAGGTGACCACACGTCAAACTTTCTCAGAAATTGTCCGCGATATAGTACTACGAAACACACTATTTGGAAGTTGCCCAAAGTTTGTGCGTGATGCCCAAAATTTCCTTGCATTGAGAAATCTTAATCAATTTTTACATTGGGGGTGGGTGTGGGTGTGAGTGTGGGTGTGTGGTGTGAGTGTTGGTGTCTTCTTGCCTCACACCCACACCTATACCCCACACCCACACCCACCCACACTCACACCCTACAAATTAAATTTCTTTTTCTTTCTCTGTATTCGAATTGATATCGTTCTAAACAAGCAAAACAATCGATCATAAACTTTGATAGAGTTCGTGCATAAATGAAATGGAATGACATTTGATTCTGAAAGTAGTTGTTTATTAATAAAAAAATGACTTTTGCTATTTCAAAACTGTGTTATTTAACAAGTATCTTTGTAATGGAGTATCGTGTAGCTGGAAAACAAAGTTGAAGATTTCCAGTCATCATTACTCATGTTAGAAGAAGTTCAAAATATCAATAAAAAGAATTTTATTTTCGGATTTTTATTCAATTCTTGTTGAGAAATGAAATCTTTATTCGTACTTGTCATGTGAAGTGAAATGGATTAACATTAGGGTTTGGATGAGGACAACATTCACAGTTACACCACACTCCACACCCATCATCATGTATATACGATATGGTCATACAGGCTTATGTGTGACTTTACTTTACTAGCCAGTATCGTCTACTGTACGAACAATAGTACGTATCGGCGGTCTTTCTGGTCGTGTGCGCGGGTGCGATATTTTCTACAGCATGGTCCAGCTTGGGAGTGTGAAAAATCACGAGTAACATCGCAATTCAAAGGAAAAACACAAATTTAGTTGGAAAAAAAGTTTACATTTTCTTTTTCACATGTTCAATGTTACTTTTAATCAATGCGATATGCGTATGTCCTGGTGGAAGAGAAATCATCCAAATTTGTTGTGCTTTTTCCAAAAATTCAAGTGCTCTCGAATACTCGCCCGTGTTGTTATACACCAAACCGATGTTGTTGTAGGAAGCAGACAAGTCGGGATGATTCGGAGGAAATGTCTTCTTTTTGATTTCAATTGATTGTTCGTAAAATGAAAGTGCTTTTGAGTAGTCGCCCATCTCATTATATACGAGACCCATGTTATTATAGCACACTGCCAAGTCGGGATGATTCGAAGGAAGACTTTTCTTCATGATTTCAAGTGATTGTTCGTAAAATTCAAGTGCTTTCGAGTATTGATCCATTTGATAATACACTGCAGCGATATTGTTGCAGGAACTAGCCAAATTGGGATGACTTGCCGGAAGTGACTTTTCCAAGATTTGATGTGACTTTTCGTAAAATTCAAGTGCTTTCGAGTTTTCGCCCACATTGCTATACAGTTGACCAATGTTGTTGTAGCAAGCAGCCAAATCGGGATGAGTTGGCGGAAGTGACTTTTCAAAGATTTCATTTGATTTTTCGTAGAACTGAAGTGCTTTCCAGTATTCTCCCATGTTGTTGTACACCTGACCGATATTGTTGTAGGAAGTAGCCAAATCGGGATGAGTTGAAGGAAGAGCTTTTTCTTTGATTTTGTGGGATTTTTCGTAGAATTCAAGTGCTTTCGAATAGTCACCCATCTTGTCATACACTTGACCGATATTGTTGTAAGCAGAAGCTAATGAAGGATTATCTTGCGTCGGAGCTTTCAGGTAGATCTCCAAAGATTTTTCGTAGAATGTCACTGCCTCTTTGTATTTTCCTTGGTCTTTTTTGACCCGTCCAAGTTGATGATATATGTATGCTCGATCACTATCATTAGAAGTCACTTCGAGTAATTGATTGTAGAGTAGTTCAGCATCATCGAATTTTTCTAGCGTGAGCATCAATTTACCCATTCGATACCATCCACTACCATCGATCTCCTTTTTCATGTATGTGACGAGATCGGCTAGTTGTGGATCATTGTCATCAGTAATAGTCAATTGTACTTCCCAAAGACGTTTATCTTTCGTTGATTGTTCCATTTCTCCTAAACGAAATACTGTGTGCATGGAGAAAAGAACTTCGTTTTCCGTTGGAATTGCACTATATTTATCAATAAGAGCAAATGGTGTTGACGATGATGATATTTTACTTTGATCAATTGTCATAATAAAAAGGACACCAACGTTTTGTTCATATTTACATAAATTTCCTTTAATGAATTCCATACTGACGTCTTTTTCTGTGCTAGTCGACAGAAAACAATTGAATGCAAGAAGTCCACCTTTTGTGTCTTGAAGATGTTGAAAATCTTCTGGAGAAAGTCCTTGACCCCGATAAATAATGAACTTCTTCTCGAATGCAGATGAATGTTCTTCTTGTAGTTGCTGTAATTGTCGATGCAGATTTCGAATGAAAAAGTCTGTTCTAGTCATGACCTCCATATCAAGTGTTCTCAGAGCACGATTGAGCATACTATAGAGAAATATTTCACAAGTATACCACCAAACTGCCGAGTGTTCATGGTATTTACTCTGAAAATACGTCAATTCTGATTCACTAATACCTTTACTACGACAATAAGCCACAAAATATTCTACTGGCTTGTCATCATCTTCACTGATTTGTAATATGATATCTTTGAATAACATTGTATACATATAAGATGGTTCTAATTGGTCGAGACTTTTATCTTCATTCGTTGTGCTTGTTGTTGATGATGTCGAATTTGCAACAAAGCTCATCGATATTGCATCATGGTCACATTGACGAGTCACTTTGTTTAGGGATTCACATATGGTCTTGATTGAAATGTGAACACCTTCAATCTTGGGCCATTCATGTGCCCACTGTTCGTGTCTAGCCTTATTACTACAATATATATATATAGTATCTACTTGTCGCATAGAATGAATTTGCGGCACAAAATATTGACCTAAAAATCCGGATACAATGAGAAAACCTTTTTCTAAAGTCATGGTGTTAAGAAGCTGGATACAATCGTCTGGATGTGTAAAAACATTGACATCACTGATGACACTTTTAATTTGATCGAAGTCCTTTTGAAAATTTGCTTCGGATTTATCGATAGTGCCATCGATCCAGAGAAGCGAATAATTTTGAACAATTGGTCGTCTTTGTTGAATTTTAGTTACTGATATTATTGAATGCACAGCATCATCCATTGTTAAATTGATCACTTATCGCTTAGATATTAGTTTATTCACGGTCACGTCAAACGATTGCTCTACCAGTAATTATGTATAGTTAATAGACATTCGCTGTTTCGAAAGAAATAGACTGTTTTAAAATTTATACCGACGATGCCCTCTGTTTTTCTTGTAAAGAACCCGACAGTGTGTTTATGATGCAAAGTTCTTTTCAGTTGCAGTGGAAAACAGAATTGTGAACGACAAGAAAGAGAAAAGAAAGAAAACGGAAAAAAATGTTATTGATTGGGTATTTTTTATTCTTTTCAACTTTCCTTTACTTTGCATTCGTAACTCATGTAGCTTGAGTGTCTTGTTCTTGGTTACCTTAAACTTTATACATAGTTTGTTTTTCTCTTTCTCATATTGGGCACATTTTGTAAAAAGTAATTTTGTTTTCGAATTAGATGTCGATGGTGTAATAAAAGGAAAATTTATTTTGCATACTGTGTTTTGGATGTGGGTGTGACTTTCATGGTCTCAATTCACACCCACACACTCTTCTGTTTTAGAGAATGATCATACCTGAAAATCACATCAATCGAATAATAATAATACGAATAAACAAAATAATTATAGAAATAGAATTAAACGGCAAAAACCAAATAATTATGAAAAGAATATAACTATGAATGGATACGATGTGCAACATCAATCAGAGAACAAATCAAATTACTATCTGCCAAGTAATATACTAATTCCTCAATATCCTCATTTTTTAAGATATAAAAAAGAATTTTTTCGAAAAGTACAAATACCATTAGAATTAGAGAATAAAAAAGATGAGATTTTCGATCTAAGTAATGTACACTACCAGGCAGAATATTTCAAATTAGAATCAGAAAAATGGGAAATCTATAAAACAGCAACTATGAATAGGAAAAAAGTAATCGAACAAATAGAACTAATGGACACTATAATGGAAGACAATAATACTAATTTGCCGATTATGAGATCATCACCTAGTGGTTTATCAGGACCATCAGCACTTAGATTTCACTGACTATTCAGAAATATTCGATGAATGGCTGCCAGAAGCAACACCAGGAAAAAACGAAAACTCGGAAACGAAGAGATTGTCCACCAATACCACCACCGGTTGTAGCGAGACGAGCACTATCACCAAGAAATGTCAATTCTCCTCTAGTAGGAGATTCAGTGAATTCATCACCGTTTTCAAATGAAAAACAAACAAAGAATGAAAAACAACATTCATTCAATGTATTGCTACCTATTGAAAAGGACAATGAGAAAAAACAACAAGATATAAGATCACCAGATAAGATAATAGCAAAAGAAAATTCAATAGTAATATCACCCATGCAAAGCACAACACCAGAAATAATAATGAGATCACCATCAGTGATACCAAAAAATTCAAAAGCTTCATATAGTACATACGAATTTGCAATGATTCCCATCGAATGCAAATATTTTTTCAAACAAATAAGACGATGATGCTCATTTGAAACAATACAAGAACATAAAAACTTCCTTGAAGGAAAGTACAAATCACTATATCAAGATCAAGAAAACATATTGCATACAACATTCTCTCAATCTACATGGACGCAAATAATTAATCTTGTAAACAATATCACAGATAAATCAATAGAAAGTAAAAAGATTAATAACCAACGAAGATTAGACAATCTCTACTAGATTAAATGAGAGAAAAATCGATTACGAGATATCAAAAAAAACGCAACCCAAGAGCAACAACACCATGTAGAGAGACTACATGAAAAACATAAGAGATTATTAGATTTCAAATTACAATTAGATAAACTAGAAAAAAAAAGATTTGCCGAAAATATGCCGCCGCCATCGCTCAATATATTTGATAAATTGCAACTACATGCAAAAGGGTTAAAAGCAAATAATAACCATCTCAGTTCTCTACGAGAACAATGGAAAAATATACTTCGGAAAACGAAGCTAGATTTAACAATGTTAATGAGATAAGCTAAAACAGCAGAACTAGAAGAAGAAAATAAAGAATATAAGGCAATGATGAAAGAACTTTCAACAACACTAAGTGAATCATACGATATTATATCGCATGTAACACAAACGAGACATAATCAATTCGCAAAAAGAGAAATTGAATTTTTTAGAGAAAAGGGCGTGCATAATGAACGAAAACTAGTGCACGCCCTATCCCATCATCATCCAAGTGTGGGTGGGGTGTGGGTTATTCTTCTTCAATAACTCATAGCCACACCCACACCCACGATTAGTCTTACTATTTTTGTATTATATTATATCAGTTCAAATTAAAAATGAATAAAATAGGATATCATCATGTGCGTAAGATTATTTCGCCATAACCAAAGCTCATCTTAGTTTCAATTAGCAAAATGATATGAAGGAATTTTTTTGATAAACTGAAATAATGATGATGTCTTTGAATTTTATTCTGTAGATTCATCTATTTAAAAAAAAGGTTAGAAAAAACAATTACTTTGAAAACACAAAACATCAAAACTTTCCAACAATATTTGTCAATTCTTTCATTTAACTATCATCGAATTATTTCTCGAAAATACCATAAAACTCACTCGATCTCACACTAAACTTCAAAGTGGAATATTTTTTTTTTTCAAGGAAAAATAAAATCAAAACTTATTGTTTCGAGTAGAAACCAGAAGACCAGAATTTTTCAACAACGATAATGGTCTTGATAATTGTAGCTGTGAGTCACGAAAATCTGTTACAAAACTGCTACTGGTATTGATCTTATATAAAAGTACTTCGACTTCTATTGTTAAAATTATTTTCATGACGCGCAAAATAAAAATGAAAGTTCCAACAACATTAATTGAATCCATTCTTTTTGATGGTAAAACACTTGAGACTCTGAACAGACTAAGTTTTCTAAATCTATTCTAATTTGTTATTAATATTAATCGGATACAGTAGTCGAGCTATCCACTGTTTGTACATTTGATTTAATTACAGCAAGATTTTTATAAAGTAATGTATGAGTTTCTCTTCATTAGAAAAATTCTGTTGCCAGTATGTCACAGGAACCTTTGAGTACGTCGAAAATATTTTCATAGAATGTTACAGAAACTGGGCAGACGGATACCGGAAAAGATGTCCTTCTGACAACTGATCCAGTAGACTCACTAGGCGTAGAAAGAAGACTTAATCTAAAGTTGCATACTCATAATAAGTTACGTAAGTGTACAAAATTAAAAAACAGTCAGATATAGCTACACTTAAACTTTCTTGTGGTTGGTCGTTATCATGAACTACGGCAGTTACGTCTATTTCTAGTCTCAAATAATTTATATTATTGTTATTGAAAATTAGCACTTACGAGGGAACTGTTCGAAGTGATCCATCATTTTTTGTCTCATATTTTGCCCATAAGTAGGGGATCTGTACACTAGAAAAAGTCTAAGAGGATATTGGCCCATGATGCGATGTGACTAAGATATTCAAGTTTTACTCAACTTCTCCTAGAGGACCCAAGTTTTCCAGCAAAATCGTATTTTTGAATTTTGACCTGAAACTTTGCTCGCATAAAGCCCTCAATTAGATTGGCTTGTGAAAAAAATTTCAGAATTTTTGGACGTATTACCACCGAGATATTCATTTTCCAAAATTATAGGCGCTTTTCTATAGATATTGTATAATACATGAGTATTTTGAAAAATTAATATCTCGGTGGTAATATGTCCAAAAATTCTGAAATTTTTTTTACAAGCCAGTCTAATTGAGGGCTTTATGTGGGCAGAGTTTCAGGTCAAAATTCAAAGATACAATTTTGCTGGAAAACTTGAATATTTCATGCATATCGCATCATGGGCCAGTATCCTCTTAGACTTTTTCTGGTCTACAGGTCCCCTACTTATGGACAAAATATGAGACCAAAAGCGATGGATCACTTTGAACGGTTCCCTCGTTAGTGGAGTTGTTTGAATATACTTGAAGTAGTAATCGTACGTGTTCACCGTCAATTAGCGCAATCTATCTCTACTGGTTATTCGTTCACACATGAGTCACAAATGATAAGAGATAGGACTTTCGATTTTTTCGTAGGTCATTTTATATGTGTAAGTGTTGTTGTCTTTACTGTTTTTTTTGTTTTATCCTTTATTTCTCTATTTCAGAAAATTAAAAATCACTTGTTGGTTAATATCATTGTTTTCAATCGACCATTTAAGATTTAATGCAAGAATTTGAAGATTGCGAAAGAAATCATTTAATATACGATTTAGGTTATTGAGAAAAGCAATGTAAGAATTATTAATCATTATTTTTTTAGTATTGATCGAATCTATTTGAATTATTATTGTCAATGATGTCCTCAAATAGTTTACTTATAATTTGATGTTGGTTCATAGTCTAGTCAGTGTTTTATCGGGTTTTTCTGCCAGAGAAGACGAGCATACTATTTTTCCAAGTGCAGATAAATAGTATGTTGTAATGTCATTAAGAAATGAACTTATTTAAAAGTAGAAAATGATAAAATATTTCTTTTTCTTTTTGTAGATTGAAACTATGTCAAGACACTTTGATGATATAAAACATATGCTTTTTGATGAACCTGATTTTGATAGTGATGATGATGATGATGATGAAATTAAAAGTAAAACAGTTCGACGAAAACAAAGAAAAAAATTACAAAAACAATTAGAAGAAAAAAGTAAACCAACGGTTGAAACAATTGTTTTTCAAGATCCGAAAAAGAAGAAAAAAAAGTTAAATGTAAGTCAAAAAATTCAATTTTGTTTTTTAAAGATATTCATGTTTTATTTTTCATGTTTATACATAGAAATCTGATACTTCATCTTCAATATCTCAACAAAAGGAAAATGTTGAATTTGATCTTGAAAAAGCTCGTTTTGATGTACATAAATTTGGTATTAAAGGTTTTGAAAAAAGTAAATATGAAGATGCTCGTGTCACATTAGCTGTTAGTTTAGGAGCCAAAGTAATATATTTCTTTGTTTTTTATAATTAAATCAAATCTATTGAATATTCTTTGTTTTTTTGAAGCCACCAAAACGAAAATTTATTAATTATCGTGAATTAATTGAACAAAATCGAGCAAAAAGAGCCAAAGAAAAAGAAGAAGAAGAAAATGTAAAACCAGAAATTTTTCAATTCTTTTATTCTTTAACAAATTATTATGTTTTAACTTAGGCTCGTTTACTTGGGGATATATTTCATAAAAGTCCACATACTAAACAGAAATCATATCAACGATCAAAACAAAAACGTATTAATGAAGGCGATGTTGGTTCAATGCGTTTTTCATCTGTTGGAAAATTTCAAGGAGGTGTTTTAAAATTAACTGATAGAGATATTTCAAAAGTTAAAAATAAAGCAGAATCTTCTCATAATAGAAAACGATTAGGAAGAAAACGATAAAATTATATCGCATGTTATTGTTTGTTTTAGATATAAAATAAAGAAAATCTTCTTTGTAATGATCATCTGTGGTACGTTAATAAAGCAGGTAAATAAATAAGTTTTTCAATTGAATGAATAAGTGTAAAGAAGGCTGTCGGATGCCGTTCTTCATGACTACGGATGGGTCTCAATGAGACTAACGAGGGAGCATTCCCAAGTGTCACATCGCTTTTGAGTCGATACTATAAGCATCATGTAGACCCTAATGGTCTATGAATAACCTAAAAAAAGTTCGTGC